AGGAAGAGTGCGCAAGTGTGAGCAGATGAGATGTGCTAAACAGTGATAAAGAGAAGGAAAAACATCACAAGAAACCCGCAGGAGAGAGAGTATTACACTAACTGAGATGTGTTACAGCCACCTTATGTCTGCCGGGGCTCTTTTTCATTTACGATCAAGGCTATGGACCATTCAAAGTCTGTTCACTGACTGTCTTTGTATGCATATTGCACACAAAAAATGGCAGAAGCTGACTGAAATTGACAGTTCTAATTGGTGGCTGACCAAAAAGGCTTTTTGAAGGCAGATACAATATCTTAAAGGGCAGAATAGCCAATATAAAGCTGGTGCATCACAATTTAAAGTAAATACAACATTGTAAGATGTGCTTCTCTGCATTTCTTTTCTGCTCCAATTTGTTTCCTAATCTAGCTTTTTTAATTAAACAAAAGAATGAATATTGTTGGCTCTGTGATTGTAAGGCGCTTTGGACAAAAGTGTCTGCTAAATGCATAAATGTGTAAAAAAACAAAAAACAAAAAACAAACAAACATATCAATGGAATCAAGGAACTAACATAGATGAAAACACAAATTAAAACTGAGGTAAACTGTGAACTCTGGTAAATCTGTGCTTCCAATACTAATTAGCCAAACAGGAAAATTTACAGGATAAATAAAATAAAATAAATAAATAAAATAAATGAATTTACCACATTTACCAGCTTAACCCATCCCTAAATGACACAGACAACAAAACAAGCTCTGACTGGTCTGTTTACCTGTCATTGTCAAAGTTGGCATGCAATGGAAAATGGAAACTGAGGTCATTTTTTTCTTCCTATTTCTTCTATTATTATTGTGATGATATCCTGGATAGATGATGATAAAAATGCAGGGTTGATTTTGTTCAACAGGGATTACATGGATCACTGCTGGATGGGAAGGATTATTATTGTCCAGCCCTCATATGTCATATGAGAAGAGATGTTGATGCAAAGGGAAGGGGAAATTAACATTTTTGATTAAACTTATAAGGCCACATGAAGCCAAAAAAAAAAATCCAGTTTTTATTTCAAAGGTGACTTTAAACATTTGTTTTCTGTCTGGGCAGTGCTGGTCAGAATAAGCTGCAGAGTGGACCAGCAGAACCAGACACATCTCTAGTGATAAACAACAGACAACCTGCACAATCTATTAGCCGGACCAACTGAGACTCATTCATCATGATGGCAATGAGGTGAAAAAGTCAAAAGTTTATTAAGACTTGCATGATGCAACGCCTCTGTCCTAAGACCACACTCGCGCGGAATGACGCATGGTAACAAAATCACTGCATATACACAGGACACAAACACTCACGAATGCAATGCCACAATCTCATCTTAAGTCACATTAACACATTCATTATGGGGAATATCTAAGAAATAAATTGATGACCATGTCAGATATTTACATTAAATAAATATATCAAGAAAAAAAACCTCAAGTACAAATAAACTTTTCAATTCCAAAACATTCGGAACAAAAAAAAACTTCAGCACGGCTCATGCCAGAAAGAGCTCAATACTTCGCTAAACTGACATCGCATGACTTAACAGGCGAACTGTAATCTAAAAGGCTCCATCTTACAGCATTATCTCGGCAAAGCAGATGCAGTATGTGCCCCGACAAACACTTACACACACAGTAAGCTGTGAGCTAGGCAAGACAGCTGTAGAAGAGAGCGATAAAGCTGTGGCTGAAGATACAGTGGGGTGAGAGGTTAAAGGGCAGCTGAAGTCATCCAGAGAGGGAAAAATGTGTAAATCCTAGGGAAGGAAGTATTGTGAGTAAGCAGTTTGAGAAGGCATGTGGCTGTTCCCAATGGCATAAAGGCAGAAGCCACAGGTTATTGTCAAAGTGGGAAGTTAGGCCCTCATGTCACCTGTCAGCCATCCTGCTAGGAATTAGGTAGCTATAACTGTCAATAGCGCAATACACTGCTACAAGTGAATGGGATGCAGGGTTTGGGAACAAAGTGCTTTTCAGTGTGTTAGGATTTTGTTTTGCCATTGCAAAGCATAAAACAGGATGACAGCAAAGCAGATGCAAGCTAAAATACCAATACAGCCTACATTCACAACTAATTACTGTAACTTCAGAGTTTTAGCATTCTATGACTCCATTATTAGGCGAATCTCCTGTCAAGAACATTTGCAGGTCACATTTCACCCCAAATTTCAGGAAAAATAGGAAATTATTATAATAATGAAGCATATTGATTATATATATATATATATATATATATATATATATATATATATATATAGTGTCACTATTTTT